AAAAAAACGGACCCAACATTCATATAGAGCAGTAGCGTGTCGAAGAAATAAGTCCTTTTCTGCCGTCAAAACCTTTTTCTCAGGCATTCCTAAGCACAGTTAGCAGCATTAACATAGTACAGTGGAACAAAAGCGGAGATATACAACTAGGTTTAACCTAATCTGCAAAGAGCTTCTTTATTTGAACTTTTATAAGTTTCCAGCAAAATCACCAGCATGGCCTACTACTATCATCGCCAAAATAATGGTTGTCTGTACAAATTCATAAACAGGACTAGATTTTCACAATGAGGTAAAATCGTCAATCCAAAAGCTAAAAGACGATTTAGACATAGGTAAGTGTTTCCTAACTATTGAATGACACGCACAAGATGTCGTTAAATCAATTAGAAACAGAAGCAATTACAAGAACATTTCTAGAAGTCATTATGATGTATTCAAGATGCTGCTTCTTCTACCGACTGATTTTCAAAGTTTTCACTGCTTTGACCAGTTCTTTCTTGTCCAACAATTGATTGGAGAACTTTGTTGAAAGCGATAGGAGAGTCAGCATAGACGTGATGTCCGGCGCCACGAATGATCTAGAACTCAAGAATTAGCGCGAAAGAGTAAAACGCACCTGGAATTTCGACCTACCTGTACGTCCACGTAACCGTTTCGTTGCGCTTGGATATCAAATGCTGGTCCAGGATCTATCCAGCTTTTGCTCCCATAGATAAAAGTAACGGGCACTGAATTATCTATGCCGTTGAACCTACAAATTCTACTTTATTTTGAAGAATGGAGAGCATCCGAAAAAGTTGAACTATGCAGACATTAACCCTCTCAATGGATTACAGTGGATCGACAACAAAGAGACTGTTTTCAAAGGCCGTGACGAGCTTATAGCATACCAACAGAAAACTTCGCAGAAAAAATGGAAGTAAAACGAAGAAGATCAACAACGCATTCTATGGATTGCTACGAGATACGGTTTAGCCTGTCCATACGTATCATGAGTCATTGGTGGACTAGCTTATTTTACAGAATGATGATTCACAATAACTTGCTAAAATTGTTTTTTCTCATAAGAAATTCCAAGCAAAATTGGAAAGAAGTGGAATATATATATATATATATATATATA